AATGGAAGTCTTTGCACTGAATTCAACAAGCTCTGGATCAGGCCCTAAGATATAATATGATTTATGGCATAGGGTACATCCCCACTGCATGCTTATTTCAAAATAAGATATTTGAAATAGCTTATTTCAAAATAGCGTGTCTACACTACAGGGAAGCCTGTTACTTTGAGGCAGGCTTTCCTAATGTGGACATACTACCTCAATTTAGAGCCCCAGGAGACAATGGAGAGTAATTAGTTTGAATGGCCCTGGGGATGAGCTATTTCAAAATAGCAGCAGTGAAGCATCCACACTACAGATATTCTGAAATAGCTATTTCGGAATAGGCATTATTCCTCATGGAATGAGATTTACAGAAGTTGGAACAAGCCGTCCATTATTTTCGATTTATTTTTAAATAACAGAATTGCTGTGTAGATGCTCACATTGTTATTTCAGAATAACAGATGTTATTCTGAAATAACACTGCTGTGTAGACTACCCATACAGAAGTGAAAGCTCCTCAGCTAGAGTTAAGAAGAAGCCTTCCATCTATGGTACAGTACTTAGTGCACCAAACTATGCAATATGGGGGGTTTACACATTCCTCTTAAGTATCTACTGCTGGCCAGTGTTAGAGAGAAGGCATTGGACTAGCTGACCCATTGGTCTTACTTCATACGTCCACTTGAGCTTTTTCCTCACAACAAAATGACCAAAAGGGGACTAGGACCTTGTGGGACAACCTCTGCAAAACAGCTGGAGGGCAGAGGACCCTTCAAATGAGACACTAAAGGAGGGGTGAGTAGTGTATACCTTGGTGTGGTCTTTGGGACTCTCTCCTTTTCCCTCATGTCTCGGATGTAAGTCTGAAAAGGGTGGTGGTGTCTGGGTAGTAGGTAGTGGCTTGTTTTGTTATAGGTGCTCCACTCACAGGCAATGAATTCTGGAACCCAGAGATCCCTCACCGGCATTTAAAAAAGGCAAATGGCCAAACCCTGAGCTGGTGTTAAACTACACACCTCTGTTGAATTCAGTGGACTTGCACCAATTCATACCCACTAAGAATCTGCTCCGTGTCTTCAAAAACAGCAATTGCTTATTCCAAGTAGAAGGAAGAGCTACAAGGCACTTGGTCCTGGGCCAGATGGCCCTCCCTGGTCTACACTAGGACCTTATTCCAAACTAACCCTCCCAAGTTTGAATTTATAAGTGATGAATCCACACCATTAAGCCTGTTATTTCAAAATAACAAGCTGCAGAATGCAAACCCTATACTCCTGCCTTTCGCGAGGAGTAATGCTAATTCCAAAATAGTAATTTTGAAATAACGTAGGTGTGGCTGTTCCAGTGCCACTAATTAGAACTTATTGGCCTCCAGGATGCCTCCCGCAGCTGTCCAGAATGCTTCCTGGGGTTCTAAGTCCTAGGTATCATGTCCATATTAATGGAGCCTGCCTCAGACTAATTTTGATGCTTCCCCTTAGTGAGGACACACTAGTTCAAATTTGTTAAATTGGGAGTTAAGTCAAATTTCGTAATTTCAGAATAGTTTCCTAGTGTAGACATAGCCACAATGAATAACAAGGCTCTAAAATGACCCCATAACACAGTTTTCATAGGGATGGAGAGCCTCCAACAGCAGAGTTTGCACAAGTGGCAGCAGCTTTCTATACCAATTAATATCAGCATCAGGCTGCATTGGAATCAACATAATACAGTGCAATAACACCCCCACACAAATTATGAAATTTATCATGAGTTCCTACAGGCAGCATGCAGGAATAGGTGACTCACAGTAAGCACTCTGGAGGTGCACTGTCACCTGTGCTCCTGCCAAAATTTTAATTAACTGTGGTGCCCCTCATGCTCATTCCCTACCAGGTATGCAGGTAGTGGCTGTATTTGGTCCATGTGACAACCTGTCATCTAGTATATATTTGAGAGTTTGTCTGTTTGATCAAGAACTCCTCCTAAATGATAAGAGCTAGGATGGCCAAATTCACTATCGGCTTCCTCCTATCATAACTGAAAGCAAGGTAAGGGTTTGGTTGTGCCAGGAAAACAGGAAGTGCCTGGAATAGGATTGTGTCTCATAAAACCATACAGAAAAGAGATAAAATGGAGAAATGTGGAGTAGTGCTCTGTTTTGGCACAGCAAAATTATTGGTTAAGGTTTGAAAACTAGAAGACAATGTTGTTGGAAACCAAATTGACTATAGCCCTTTTTTGTTAAAGCATAGTGAGTGATAGTGAGTTATAACAGTTTATAGAGATGAAGAAAAAAAGCACTTGATAGAATTCGCATTAAAAAATACTAAAAATAACTTAAACACACTTTGAAAAATAGTTTTCATTATCTAGTTTAAATATTTTTGGAGTGTAGGTAATGACTTTTTAAATGAAAATATAAACAGAAAAACCGTTTCCAATCTCTCATACTATTTGCTACCTGCTTTCAAACACATACAAAGCTCACTCTTGCTGCTGCTATTCTCAACTACAGATGACCTGCAGGGAAGATAAATAGGAAGTGACACAGGTTGCGATTTATAGCAGATGTTGTGAACAAAAATTCCAATGAAAATTCCTTTAAATGAGCCGTGCCATTTTTTGGTCACTTTTTCCAGTATGATTTTTTGTTTTGTTTTTAAAACTATTTTTGAACAAAAATAATGTTGCAATATGTGACATTTTATTCAATGGTTTTTATTTAAACTGAAAAACCAAGATCCTTAAATAAAATAGATTGATCTGCTCTTCTCTTATGCTCTTGCTGTTTCGGAACTAGCTGGTTACTTCCATTTGTCCTAATTATAATCTTTTAGTGATGGGAACTAGAATTTCCTGTGAATAACCTCCTTGAGTTAGGATGTGTTTTTACTGTTTGCAATATTCAGTCCTTGTCACCATTTAATGTTTGCTGCTGAGTTTAATTCTTAATCATTGTTCAGTTTAATGCTTATATAGTCCCTTTTCTGTGAAGGATACTGTAAAACACATCGTGAGGTCTCTGCTACTGAATGCTAGATTTAGCACACTGTTTGGATACGTGCAAAAATTTGTGATCTCTGTCTCTATTTGAAACCACAATGACTCAAATAACACCCAGGTGTCTTATGTTGGCTTTTTTTTTTTAAATGCAGATTGCGTAGCTGCTAAAACATCTGTGCTTCCACACAAAGAGAAGATTCGTTCCCATAGGCTGAAAAGTTTTTGAATCCTCCGCAAGTACTTAATGGAGTTGGAAATTGGCAGAATATGATGGGTCCCTTCTGTTAAGTAGGCCATCTGCTTGTATTGTATTCCAAAACAAGGTCATGGAAAGGAAAGTTATGAAGTGAGAAACTGCTTGTGTTAACTTTAAAGGGCTCAAAGAACAAGTATTGTTTTAGGAGCAAAATTAGTTAGTGTGTCATTACATCAAGTCTTAACCAGGCTCCTCTTTATTCAAAAAGCTGATGCTATTATTTAATACACTGGAACAAGTAGTAAATTCCTTTGATCTTCAGAGGCTGTGGTTTGATTCCCAATACCAAAATTATTTTGATTATTGAATTGGCACATATCCCTAAAACATTCCTAAATCAGTAGATGGATTCTGAAAAGAGAGCTTGTAGCTTTAAAGTCTATTCCAAATTAATGAGTTCCTTATGGATGATAATGTAATAGCTGTGAGAGGGGATAAAGAACCAGAAAAAAAATCATGTACTTTGAAAACAGTCACTTTGTTAAAATTGATTACTTGTTCATTATGAAGAAAGAATGGAAGACAGAGTGTTTAAAATGTTGTGTCAATAATAAGACAAGATCTCAAAACCCGGCTAGTTGGTAAATATAGTTTTTTTGCTCTGTGCTAGCCAATATCATTGACTTCAATTGAGTCAGAACAAGCTGCAAATGAAGATCCCCTCATGAAGTATCAGTGAGTAAGATTCACTTCTATGACACCAATACAAAACAGCTTTAGGAAACTAAAAATAAAGACACAGGCAGGTAGCAAAGATCACTGGCACCATTAACATCTAATGCATATTTAGCTACTTAAAGCCTATGAATTGTTCGCTCTTGTAGTTAGTCTGTGTAGCTCCATGTTCCTCAAATGGCTACCCTCCTTTCAACTCCTTATCTTCCTTACTCCCACTTGCATGTCTTGTCTATTCTTTAAACATTTATGATATTGAAGCAAAGCACATCTGTTTTATAGGATGGGGACATTACACTAATATCTAAGGCCTTGACTACCTTTTGATTGGTAGCATACATGTGCCCTAATCCTGAAGGGTGTCTGGATACTTCTATACAACAAAATAGTTAAATATGGCCCCTTTCTGATTCAATTGAACCATACAGCTTTGTAAGCACCACAGAGACATGAATGAATGATGCTATGAGCTCCATGCTAGCCCATTACGTCCCTCGGGACTACTTGGTTCATAACAGACTCAGAAGGCATGTGGCATTGCATTAATCTTCTCTTCAAACTTCAAATCCAAAGCAGGTGTCTCTCGTAAGAGGTGGTCAGTTGAATTCATTCATTCATCTAACCATAGAAACTAGCATCAAAACTGACACAAGCTTTGTGCTCCAGAGGCTAAAGGGTTAAGGAGCTCTCTGATATTTTGTTGGTAATGTCTAGACTCAGAATTCACGAATGCAGGACAGAGTTCCATTTTGGCAATGAGCTCTGGGTGTCTTTGGAGGCAATAAACTTTCCCCAACAAATCCCTCTGGCTACAGTTTAATTTGCAATGAAAGATGTTGGAGTTCAAGCACCTTTTTTTAAAAAACTTTCATAACAGATGGCAACCCGAGAGGTGCCAGCGCTATGAACTGCCAAGCTGAAAGGTGCCGGGGGGCAGCCCTGGAAAGCCTGGTCACAAATTAAGCAGTCTCTCTAGTGCCCTTTTGCAATTCTTCACAAAATTGCAGAGAACGACAACCTCCCCACCTGTCTAGCTACTGCCTCCCTTCTTATTTCCAACTGAAGGTCACAAGTCCCTGTACTCACAGTCCCATACCATTCTGGATGACTGATTTGAGTCCGGCTCCAGTTTGTCCTTCCCAGGGGATACATTCCTGGCACAGTGCTCCTGTTGGTTCCTGTCTTAGGATGTCCCTCGTCAGCTGCTCTGTCCTTCCTGGTCTTTAGGCTGGCTTTTGGCTGCTTTAGGATCCAAGGGCCTGCCCCAGTGCGCAGCTCCGGCAAAAAGCAAAAGCCAGGAGGGAGCTATTTAAAGAGCTGTCAAGGACCCAGGTTGCAATATGACAGTACCTGTAAGAAATTTAAGTTACTTTCATGCCTGCTACAGACATATATATCCCTGTGTTCTCCCTCTCTAGACTCCCCTCCCACGGAACAACCCGCATTTCCTCTGTCTCAGGATGTTTTAAAGAGGTTGTGCTTATGCTTCTATTGTAAAAACAGATATTAAATAAAAATAGTTCTCAAAACTTCTTTGTCCATCCTAAAGCACTAAAATGTAGCAAGACCATTCCTTTTATCTCTTCTTCACAGCTTTTTTAAAATATGTGGCTTTTCCTTATTAGCTAGTCTGCAACATATGCCCTAATGCAGGGGTGGGGAACTTTTTTTGGGTCAGGGGCTTGCTGACCCACAGAAAAATCAGTCGGGGGCCACAGACAAGTGAGAAGTACTGGAGGTGATGGGAGCACAATCCATTTATTATGTCTATACCAATGCAATATGTCAACCCCTGATGGATCGATCACTGCCTTGTCAATCCAGCTCATAGTGAAGACATGCCCTTAGACTCTAGCTATTTTTATTGGCCCCTCTTTTCTTGATAGATATAGCAAGGAAAATGGTTACTTTAAGGCCTTTAAGTTTTCTATATAAAAACATCTCCTTTCAGAGATATGGTCTTTACAATTACAACAGATATGATTTATCATCTCCTGGACCTTTCACAATCAACCCTCATGCTTTTTAATTAGAAAGAAACTAGTATTTAATCCACAACACACTGCTTGAATACTAAATAGAGCCACTTCACCCTTATTCCCAGGAACGATCTAGAGCAGGCATGTCCAAAGTCCGGCCCGCGGGCCAATTGCGGCCCGTGTTCCGGTTTAATACGGCCCCACGGGTAATTTGGCAATATCTATCTTTTATGGCCCCCAATGAATCCATATGTATTGAGATGAATACATTGTAAAATCTCAGTTAAAGTCAGTTGGTCTAAATCAGTTATAAATATATTTGGACACAACATGTATACTTGGTGTTATGTTCCTGTTCATATTTTTTGAACTTAAAAGTTGACAGACAACCTTTATTACCAATAATATGTAATGTACTTTACAATGTTCCTGACATATATTTCAGCTTCCTGGATTTTTTTTTTCATCTGGCCTTCAGATATGAAAGGCAGAGTGATTTAACACCTGTTTAGATTTGTCATCCATGTGACGAAATGAAAAGTATGCCGTTTGCAATAAACTTTGCATAAAATAGTTAATTTGCATTTAATTTTAATGGTTCAAAGAATGTCAGGCAAAATGGTCGGCCCTCACGCATGTTCACTTCATCAAATCTGGCCCTCTTTGAAAAAAGTTTGGACACCCCTGATCTAGAGAAACAGTCTAGAAAAGGGGTAAGCAGTGAGGTGGCAAAATTTGCGGACGATACTAAACTGTTCAAGATAGTCAAGACCAAAGGAGACTGAAGAACTTCCAAAAGATCTTACCAAACTGAGTGATTGGGCAACAAAATGTCAAATGAAATTTAATGTGGATAAGTGTAAAGTAATGCATATTGGAAAAAATAGCCCCAACTATACATACAATACGATGGGGGCTAATTTAGCTACAACTAATCAGGAAAGAGCTCTTGGAGTCATTATGGATAGTTCTCTGAAAACGTCCACGCAGTGTGAAGAGGCAGTCAAAAAAGCAAATAGGATGCTAGGAATTATTAAAAAAGGGATAGAAAATAAGAAAGAATATCTTACTGCCCCTATTATAAAACTATAGTACGCCCACATCTTGAATACTGTGTACGGATGTGGTCTCCTCACCTCAAAAGATATTTTGGCATTAGAAAAGGTTTAGAAAAGAGCAACTAAAATGATCAGGGGTTTGGAACGGGTCCCATATGAGAAGAGGCTAAAGAGACTGGGACTTTTCAGTTTAGAAAAGAGGAGACTGAGGGGGGATATGATAGAGATATATAAAATCATGAGTGGTGTGGAGGGAGCTGATAAGGAAAAGTTATTTATTAGTTCCCATAATATAAGAACTAGAGGACACCAAATGAAATTAATGGGTAGCAGGTTTAAAACTAATAAAAGAGAGTTCTTCTTCACTGAGCTCACAGTCAACCTGTGGAACTCCTTGCCAGAGGACACTGTGAAGGCTAGGACTATAACAGAGTTTAAAAAAGAGCTAGATAAATTCATGGAGGTTAAGGCCATAAAAGGCTATTAGTCAGGGGGTAAGGAATGGTGCCCCGGCCTCTATTTTTCAAAGGCTGGAGAAGGATGGCAGGAGACAAATTGCTTGATCATTGTCTTCGATTCCCCCCCGGGACACCTGGCATTGGGCCACTGTCGGCAGACAGGATACTGGGCTAAATGGACCTTTGGTCTGACCCAATATGGCCATTCTTATGTTCTTAACTTGGATCCTATGAACATTTTCAACTGTTGGGCATGCTTCCCAGAATATTTGCCCCTTCGTTACATTTGCCCACAGTTCTTGCCATTCCTTCTTTAGGGGGTATGTCTACACTTCAGAGTTTTGTCGGAAAAACAGCTGTTTTTCCAACAAAACTTGAAGAATGTCCACACTGCAATCGCATTCTTCCACAAGAAAATAAAAAGAACAGAGGTGGTTTTCCGGCATTGGTAATCCTCATTCTATGAGAAAGATGCCTTTTTGCAAAAGAACTCTTTTGTAAAAAGGCACGTGTGGATGAGCAAGAGGGAGTTCTTTTGGAAGAAGAGGAAAGAGAAAAAAGCACAAGTGCCCTCGTGGCCATTCCATCCATAGCAATCACAGCTTACATGCGAGAGAGCGTCCTTTCAGTCTGGTCTCACTTTCAAAAAAACAGATTGCTTTTTCGATGCACTTTTGCAGTGTGGACGCTCTCTTTCGGAAGAAGTTTTTTAGGAAGATCTCTTCCAAAAAAGTGCCTTCCGAAAGAAGCCTGCAGTCTAGACATACCTAATCAAAACTGAGCTAGACTATTTAAATTTCAGTTTGCTGAAGGGGATTCTTAAGTCAACTACTTTGTGATTCCTTTCAGAGAACCTATCCTTTTCTTTTTCCTTGTTTGCACCCAGTCTTCCCTCAATGCTTTCTCTATCCTCTTTGTCTAGACTGGTTTCAGTTTCATTTGTTATCTCTTCCCTCTCTCTCCAACAAGCCTGTCGGCCAAAGTCTGAACCACTCCTGTTTTGAGAGAGAAGGTACTCTATCATATTGCCCTTCTCCACAGAAGCTCATTCTCACTGGCTGGAAGAGAGGGGAGTCCTGCCCCATCCTATACTGACTACAAGGCTCTGTTTCCTAGCCTTTCAAGAAAGTGTGTCCTGGAGTTTCCCCAACAATCCAGCTTCTAATTCCTTGAGACCATTTCTTCTCTTCCACTACCAGGACATTTCCATCCTGAGCTTTTGTTCATTCCAGCTCCTTGGAACCGAGTCTCCTGGCAAGCTCTATTGTTACAGGGCCAGTGTGCCCATCATAGTTTGAATCTAGCTTCATTTTATTGAACAGATCATAAATAAGATGATATTTTAAATTTTTTTATTCTACTGAGATCAGATGACTATAACACTTCATTTACAAATTCTATTAGAACAAAATATTAATTTCATTATAACTGCATAATATCATAGAATCATAGGACTGGAAGGGACCTCGAGATGTCATCGAGTCCAGCCCCCCGCCCTCAAGGCAGGACCAAGCTCTGTCTACACCATCCCTGACAGATGTCTATCTAACCTGTTCTTAAACATCTCCAGAGAGGGAGATTCCACCACCTCCCTTGGCAATTTATTCCAATATTTGACCACCCTGACAGTTAGGAATTTTTTCCTAATGTCCAATCTAAACCTCCCTTGCTGCAAATTTAAGCCCATTACTCCTTGTCCTGTCCTCAGAAACCAAGAGGAACAAATTTTCTCCTTCCTCCTTGTGAAACCCTTTTAGATATTTGAAAACCGCTATCATGTCCCCCCTTAATCTTTTTTCCAAACTAAACAAGCCCAGTTCATGAAGCCTGGCTTCATAGGTCATGTTCTCTAGACCTTTAATCATTCTTGTCGCTCTTCTCTGTACCCTTTCCAATTTTTCCACATCTTTCTTGAAATGTGGCGCCCAGAACTGGACACAGTACTCCAGCTGAGGCCTAACTAGTGCAGAGTAGAGCGGCAGAATGATTTCACGAGTTTTGCTTACAACACACCTGTTGATACAACCTAGAATCATATTTGCTTTTTCTGCAACAGCATCACACTGTTGACTCATATTCAACTTGTGGTCCACTATGAACCCTAGACCCCTTTCCGACATGCTCCTTCCTAGACAGTCGCTTCCCATCTTGTATGTATGGAACTGATTGTTCCTTCCTAAGTGAAGCACTTTGCATTTCTCTTTATTAAACTTCATCCTGTTTACCTCTGACCATTTCTCCAACTTGCTAAGGTCATTTTGAATTATGTCCCTATCCTCCAAAGAAGTTGCAACCCCACCCTGTTTGGTATCATCTGCAAACTTAATAAGCGTACTCTCTATCCCAATATCTACATCATTGATGAAGATATTGAACAATTAAAACTATTTTCAAGAAGCATCTCATTTGGGTCCCAATCCTGTGAGGATGCACTTAATCACATATTTAACTTAAAGAGCACACTTAAATCCTAGCACATGCTCTTCAGTCTTTTGCTGAAAGAAGGCTCAGATGCTGAATATCCTCAATCCTCATTGATTTCAATGAGAGCATTCAGTATTGTGCAAGGTAGTTACTAAGGATCAATGGAAAAGTAACATATGTCACTAACATAATGTACCCTCAATAGTAAATCTGAATTTGGATGCACTTAAGACAGAAGAATTGTTTTTAGTAACCAAAAATTAAACCACCAGCTAATATGATTAAAAGCAAATCATAGAATACTAGGACTGGACCTCTAGAGGTCATCGAGTCCAGTCCCCTGCCCTCATGGCAGGACCAAATACTGTCTAGACCATCCCTGATAGACATTTATCTAATCTGCTCTTAAATGTCCCACAGATGGAGATTCCACAACCTCCCTGGGCAATTTATTCCAGTGTTTAACTACCCTGACAGTTAGGAACTTTTTCTTAATGTCCAACCTAAACCTCTCTTGCTGCAGTTTAAGCCCATTGCTTCTTGTTCTATCCCCAGAGGCCAAGATGAACAAGTTTTCTCCCTCCTCCTTATGACACCCTTTTAGATACCTGAAAACTGCTATCATGTCCCCCCTCAATCTTCTCTTTTCTAAACTAAACAAACCTAATTCCTTCATCCTTCCCTCGTAGGTCATGTTCTCTAGACCTTTAATCATTCTCCTGCTGCATGCTCAGTTTTGTTACTACTTTGGCTTTTCAGAAAAGAGTACATCCTGTAGCTCCAAAGCCTTGAATAAGTCACCAAAGTTGCACAAATGAAACCAAACAAAGCAAAATTATTCTGCTGTAAAAAACATGTGGTTAACATTTGTTTAGAATTTACTTCAACTATCAAAGCAAACGTCACATTTTGATAAATGTTTCATAGCCATTTTGTACAGAATGCAGTTTATGGAACGTAGAGTCAGCATCTGCTAATTTAATGTCCTTAGCAGAACTAAGCCTTCACACCCTACCTTTGTTACATGCACATAAATACAGTCTTCTGCTAAATAATGCTGTATATACATTGGAATTGCCATGGCCCAAGACTAACAGTTAACCATAGTGGATTGCTTTTATGCATCTTTGATTGCAATATGGCTATACCATTTTACACCAGCTAAGTTCAAAGCTCCATTGCAGTTATCATAAAATTAAAAACTAGGGAAAAAATCATATATATAAACAACCAAAAAAGCATGTATGTACCCTGTTCTACTACTTTACGAAAGAAAGG